ATTTTGTTGAGTTTAGTTCTTGCTGATTTTACTTTAATTTTACTATTATTGTTGCTTATATTTCTGTTTGAAAAAAAGGGGAAAATTACTTTTAAATCTAACATACAGGGTGGCCCATGTAGCGTTTGCTTTTTGAACTATCAATAATTTTGACTTTGACATTCCGAATGTCATTATCAGATATTTATTAAATGGTTTGCGGTTTACGAAATGGTTAAGACTACGCTCGAAGAAAATTGAGAAAAATTGATATTTTTATAGCGATTTTTAAACGCAAATCTTTCGTGGCCCCAAAGTTCCCAAAGCTCATCCAATAGACAATCTAACCCACTGAAAATTATTGTAATTATAAAAATAATCATTCTTTAAAAATACTTATATATATATTACCTATCCAAGGCTATTTCCTTAATTTTTTCCACTTAAAAAACATATTTCCGTAAATACTTTTCAAAATCCAACTTAATCCCCGAGTTTCCACTAAAAATTCGCTTCACCCGATTTGGAAATCCACTCGACATGACCAGGCATTAAGATCCGATTTTTTGTCCGCTACTTTGGGTCAAAATTTATAACACTAAATGTAGTTGACAGGCTGTCAGTGGCACTGCGCTTTTAAGCTAACAAGCGTGAGCAAGGCGAGGCGAAACGGCAACGGCAATGGCAACGGCAATGGCCAAAGACAACAACGGGCCAAAATCCATTTACATTAAAATTTATAGAGCATAAAGTGAGCGCTTTTTTATTTTAATTTCATTTCATTTCGTTTGCCAGTGCACAGCAGCAGCACCCCGTTAAGAAGGACGCACAAAAAATTGTTACAGTTTGACTATAAAATTACAAATTTTCTGTTTTTTTTCCAGCTTTTTTTATCCATTCATTTCGGGTCCTTTATTGTTAAAAGAGAATATGTCAGCATGTGATTCCAAAAGAGCCAAAAAAAAAAAAACAAATGTAAAAAAAAGATTTTAATAAAAAGCGACCGGAAATTATGTGCGTAAAGGTATGGGGAGAGAGGAGGTAGAGGGGAGGAAATCGCTGCCATGAGGTATATATATTCACCTATATAGACCATAAGTACGCAGCGCAATATTGTTGTCAGCCAGAGCGCTTTTTTTCGGCATTTTCTCTTGTTTTTTTTAATATGGTGTTGTGTTCCTCACTATTTTAATTTTTCCGCGTCGCTTTCTGTGTGCCGCGAACAATTGAATTATTTCAGTACGTGGAAAAAACGCGAGGGGTGTGCCTTTGCCCATTAGCCCAGTGCCACCCCACGATCATTGGCGGAACCCAAAAAAAAAAAAGGAAACTAGGAGGAATTCCCCTCCTCATCAACGCCTCAGCGAAAAGCGAGAAAAAAAATCATCAAAAAAATGTGAATAAACGGATTCTGGACAAAAAATTTGTAACAAAAGTTTTACGACGTGACTGCTGGCAAGTTTCTCGCTTTTTTTCCGGCTTCTATTATAATTTTTTATTTTTCCTCCTCTTTTTTTTTATAAATTTTTAGACGACTTGATTGGAATGTCAGATAAAGTCAAATGGATTTCAGCGTAAATTAAGTTGCCACAAAAATGGAGAGTTTCAAGCAGCTGCTGGCAGGAGTTTGGTTTTCGAGATGGAAAGAAAGTTGTCTGAGTTTTTGAGGGGAAAAACTTAGTTGTAAAAATTTATGAAAGTATATGTAATATATATATTCCAAATATATAAAGTTTAAATAACATAGAATAGTAAAATTAAATATAAAAATATTTTAAGTTAAGTTTAATACCTTAAAAAGGCTTCTTTTATCCTAATTACTGATAGCTGCTTCGTTTTTAAAGCTAATATTTTGTAATAAACCCTTTAAAAATGCTAATAAATGTATAAGAATCTATAATGACATATTCAAAATCTTAAAAGCAGTAAAAAAATATTTCACAAAACAGAAAACTTGCAAGGCTTTTGGATTTGCCTTACCCTTAAGCCCCGATCCCTTACCTTCAAGCTCTAACCTATGTTTGGATGGGCTGGCTTCCCCAGAAAAAGGATAACAGTAAATGATATAAAACCAGTTCGACCGGTTTTCGTGACGAATTATTGTGGTATTTTTTATGAAAATATTTGAGCCATTTCGCATATGAATATCCCGGCAGAAGGAATAAATTAAAACCCTTTTCCAGGCTGCAGCTGGACAAGTTTCGGGTGAATTCAGGTAGGAATTCAATTAAAAAACTGGGAGTTTAGGGGAACTAGAGCAGCAGCAGCAGCAGAAGCAGCGGCAGCATCCTTTGGACCCTTCCTTCTTGACACAATCACAATCGCTGGCATCCCAAATGTGGAAAATAGAAAACATAGATGATCGCCACATTGTGAGAACACAATCAGTGAGCAAACCGATCTCCATTCATTACGTGGCATTCATCTTTCTTTCACCTTTTTCATTTATTTCACCCTTTCACCGAACCGAGCGTTGACAAAACTGTTGCCTTAGTGCCTAATGCCGCATTATCCAGGCGACTGGGATTGTGTCCTGTGAAGTGACATTCCATCTAATTTGAATATTACCGCCGTCGTCGTCGTCGTTCTCCTCGTCGTTTCCCACGATTTATGCTTATGATTTGCCAGAGGTCTTACCTTTTCACCTCTCCGCACACTCGACAATCCTTAACCCTGCTCATTCTATGCTAATGCAGTTGCCATAAATTCGGTTCCTTCTTCTGGATACAGAGCTTCTCCTCGCTACAGGTTTGCCAATGTGTTTTCCCCTCCAAGCTAACATTCGAATGAGGTCCTTTGTCTGGGCCGTAATTGTCGTTGAAATTATTTACACATTTTTAATTGGCCCTCAAGTGGTCCGGGCACCTCCTGCTGGTATTCCTCATTTTCATTTTTCTTCTTAATCGAATCGATTGCTTAGACCTCTTCCCCATTAGTAACAAAAGCTTTATTCATATCTTGAGGCTGTTTTAGTAATTAAATTATATTCAGAACTTAAGCTTAATTTGTACTTACTTAAGACTTTCCAGCGAGCAACGACTTTCCCTGCCCTTTCATTTCCATTTTCTACCTTTTGTTGCCGCTGCCTTTATCTACCTTTTGGCTCTCCCTTTGAGTGCCACTTTGAGGCGTCACTTTTGACCTAGTCCTTTAATTTGGAACCGCCTCCGATTGATTGTCCCCTCATTTGAGGGGCACTTCTGTGGTTAGAGGCGACATGGAAACCCCATAGAGTATCATTTGCTTTGCTGACTCGCCCCCTTCCCCTCTCAGAAAAAAAACGCTAAAAAAAAGTAATTATGCCGACTAAGAGCTTCATCAGACATCCCATTATGCGGCCTGCACTCGACACAAACACACACATGCCACCGTGGTGGCAACAAAAGCTGGGTGGGCTACCTTTGTGCGAGCCATAGTGGCCCGGCCCCCCGTCAAAGCCCAACAGCCAACGCCCAACGCCCACCGCCCCTTTCAGCGTCATCATAAATGTTTGCATATGAAGTGCAGGGCGATGGAAAAAAATAGAGGAGGTAGAGGAGAAGGAGGAGGTGGTGGTGTGGCATGCACTTGAGTTGAGGCATTGAAAAGAGGAGAAAAACCTTGCGTTGGGATTAAAAATGCAGCGCATTGAATTTGCAGAGCCTTCTTTTTTGCCACCGCCAGCCTCCATTTGCAACAAATAATGATGCACTTGAAAAACTCTCCCTGTGTGTGTATGTGCCACACAACGGCGGTAGAAGTTGCAGAAACAAAACAACAACAACAACAAAAAAAGAGAAAATATATCATTAAAAGCTTCCCCTACTTCGTCCTGCAACATCGCTTTATTAGAGCCAAAGAAGCAGGAGAGAGCGAGCCGCTGCTCCTTGCCGACATCCATGCCATTAATATTTCATTTAACGCTGCAATTGTCCCAAGAGCAATACCATCCACAGCCACGCCCTCTGCTTACACCTACCTACGCCCCTAAATAGCCTTAAAATGTTTAATTCATTTTATGCGATTTCATTCAGCTCGGGTTTTAATTATGAGCAGGGACCACTGCTGACGCCGCCTCGAGTGGATAGTCAGCCGCCGCAGAGGAAGGCGAGTTCAGGATGGGAGTGCACTGAGGAAAGTATATTAGTATGTACTGAGAATGTTTTGGAAATTATGTTTCTTAAATATTAATCCAACTATCTGTTAATTTAGTTTAGTTTTCTCATAGAAAGTATCATAGTTCCAAGGAGAGCTCTGTCTTAAATTCTTGAAACTCATCTAGTTAGCGCTTAAATTTTCTCCCAGTGCATTTGTGTAGATGCCAGTCAACTGACTTGTGTAATTTGTGCATAAGTTTCATTTACTTTGGGGGCGACATAATCTTCAGTTGCTTACTCCTCACGCCGCCCCACGGCTAATGTCGTCTATGCTTGCTTTTTCCCTCCTACTTCTGCTCCTTTCCGAACCTGCAACTCCTTCTCCACTCACTACTCCATCGCCATCTGCCTGGGCATCCACTTTCCTAGGCAGTGTCAGCTCTCTCTGGGCTCGAAAAGGAAAAAAAGATTGTCTCAATGGCCTTGCCCGGTCTGGTTTGGTCTGTGATTATGCACTTGACGTGCATAAAGCTGAATTTTAATTACGAGTAAATATTTAAACCATTAAGCTCGAAAAGTATGCTGCAGGCTAAGCAGAAGACATTGGTGAGCCAGCTGGAAAGATGAGGAGCAGCTCCATGTCCTCCCATCAAGGAGGAGGAGGTGTCCAAGTGGTTGTCGCTGGGTTTTCGCCAAGCAGCTATGTTGCTTCTCAAAAAATTAGAACGCACTCGAGGCCAAGTAACATGAAGCCAAAATCTTAATTACAGCCATAATTATGGATATTGAAGCAGAGCTGTTGAAGAAATAACTTTACTAATGGAAAATGATAATGGCAAATGCATTTTCAAAGCTCAGATTGATAGATTATAGAGAGAAGTTTATACTAAGACCAAAGTAGGCCCCTTTTGATACAGCAACTTGTCACTTTAAGTCACGGATCACAAACTTGTAACAACTTGACACGAACAGAGCACTCAGTCACCTCTTTTTAAAAACCAATAATGGAACTAAATTCCGTGCAATATTATTGCCAACGCAGTAGGATGTTGATTGAACGGGCCAAAAAGTTGTTAACAGAGGACTCAGATCAGGACGCAGAACGGGTGAAACCCAATAGAAACCTCACGAAGCTTATCCAGGAAGTAGCAGACGGAGCTAATCCAGAGGGGCAACTCCTAGCCATACAGGAAATTCGCACAGAGCTCTCCCTGGAGGATGCACCCATTCAGGAGATGATCCAAAAAGGCCTTCTGCCTGTCCTGGTGGAGTGCCTCAAGGGAAACAACGCAGAGAAACTTCAGTTTGAGGCCACCTGGGCCTTGACCAACATTACCTCTGGAAGCTCAGACCATACCACCCAGGTGGGTGTTTTAGTATCCTCTTTTAGCATACATTAACCCAATCCCTATCAGGTTGTGGCTGCTGGTGCTGTGCCACATTTCGTGGAACTTCTCAAATCGAAAAATATGGATACCTGCGAACAGGCCATTTGGGCTTTGGGTAATATCATCGGCGATGGTCCTCTGCTTCGGGACTTTGTCATCAAATTGGGCGTGGTTCAGCCCTTGCTCCACTTGGTCCAACCAAATATGATCTCTTCAGTAGTCTGCAATGTGGCCTTAGTTATTGGCAATCTTTGCCGGCACTACGATCCGCCGGTAGCCAAAGAAACTGTCTTGGAGTTACTGCCGACTCTTGAAATCCTCATGGATCACAGTGACACGGAAATCTTAAGGTGCACCTTGTGGGCCATCAGCTTTCTGGTCGGCGGTGGAGAGGATTACATTCAAGTAATGATTTTCAGTAGATTGATCCCGAAGATCATATCCTACATGGGGGATAAAGAGGCCATATTTAGATATCCTGCCATAAATGCAGTGGAGAATATTCTGACTGAAATCGAAGAGCCAAACGAGATGACCGGTGATGAGGAGATCCGGAGGATTGCCATCCGCAACCAGGCTTGGATGGTTGTCCTAATCAGAGGAGGATTAGTTTCTATAGTCAGGGAGTTCTTAAAAAGTGGTGACCCAAGGGAACAAGCCTTGGCTGTCAGAGCAATGAGCAACATAACCATTCACTGTAATCAAGATCAGATTCTAATTTTGATCAAAAGGAATATCATTGAGCCGTTATGTGATCTGCTCACCTACACATTTGAGGATATTTCCAAGGAAGCTCTTAAGGTTCTTAACAACATGCTGAAAAAGTCTAGGAGCCATTTGCAGAAGGTGGCCCAAACCATCTTCGAATGTGGTGGCTTGGCCAAAATCGAAGCTCTACAGGTTCACTTCGATGAGGAAGTCTACTTGCTGGCTCTCCACATCATCGAGACCTACTACACCGATGAGATCTAAAGCGCAGTCTACATTTTGTTTATATATTTCGATAAATTTAAATAAATTCCAAAAATAGGAAAAGGAAAAGCCAGTCAATGGCAATTGTACTTTTCAAACTTTGCCCATAAATATGTATGCGATTTTTTTTGCTTTGTTAATTCTCTGATTAATTTGAACAAGAACAACGGGGAAATATTTTATTAATTGTTAAATGGGGAGTAGGTGGTGGGTGGTGGGAGGGGCACTCAATTAAAAGTTTCAACATCAGACGAGTGTCGATAACAGTGGCGGTCGAAAGTGTGTGTACATGGGTAATCAATGCAAATAAACGGGAATCACTCATCGATCGATGTTAATAAAAAACAAATGTTGATAAAAAAGAAGTGAAAAGCGAACAGTCGGGAAAACTTTGCAACAAAGCCATAAAAAATGGTGGACTTTACAAATGGGAGGGAAAAAATAATTCCATTTTTTAACGGTTGGAGGTGGAAGGAGGTCTTGTTAGCTGTTTGCCTGCTGCCTGCTGATTATGTGTATTTGCATGCTAAAGCAGTTGTCCCCACGTCCCCGTCACGACCTGTAATGGTCGAAGGTGCCACCCATCACCCATCAGCCCACCCACTTCAGCTGTCACCCCCCTCTTGCCTACTCGCTGCTAACGTAATTTCCATAAAACATTTTGTTACTTATTTATCTTAATTAAAATAAATTTACATTTTTCTAATTTAAGAGCGCGACGAAGGAAAAACAACAACGCCAACTAGTCAGTCGTGGCCCCCTGAATCTTCCTCTCCACCCTTGTTGGGGCATTAGAGAGCGACATTTTCTTAACAAGCCAAAAGGACATTTGCTGTCCTATGGGGAAAATGGCGGGCCATCGCACACACAAAGGTTCAGGACGAAACACAGCAACAAGGCAAAGGCAAAGGCAAAGGAAAAGCGAGGCAGGACAAAATGGTAAGGAAAAAATGCTGGAAAAACTCAACGTAATGGAAAGTTGCCTGGACTCTTCGCTTGGATCTCATTAGCGCCGGTTGCCACGAGACACGAGTCTTAAGTCCAGGACTCTGCTTCTTCTTCTTCTTCTTCTGAGATATCCCGGGTCCTGGGAGCATAAAATTAAAAGCTGATGAGCTTGAATGCCGGGCCAAAATAAAAAGATTTCCTTACGTATTTGCGTAGTTTGTATACGCCATTTTCTTTCTTTTCCACTCCCCCTTGTTTTAGTATGAAAAATAAAAAGAAAAACGTAACGAAATGTTTGCCTCGTTGGAAGGAAAATGCGACAGGAAATATGAGCAGCAAATGGAGTGGACGCAATGGGCAGCAAGGAATGTTCGATAAAAGGACATCAGAACGAGGAGAACTGAGGCGTAGATAAAAGGAAAACGAAATAGAAAATTTGCCTAATTGATTGAAATTTAAATCCTTAAGTGCTGCTCTTAAGTTGGTATTTTCAAGACATGATACATTGTTTGATGATATTTTGTTACTTTGAAAACACTTAAGAAGTCAAGTGAATATTTTCAGGAATTTTCCTCTTTAATTTAAGGATTTTTGAGTTAGTCAAGCCTAGCAAGTGCATGTTAAAGGCAAGTTTAGAGTAATACAAACCTAAAATTGTTTCAAAATGGAATCGAAGAGAGTTTGAAGTTTATAGTTTACAGATTTCTGATCCACATACTAACCATCCTCAGTACAGTCGCCTTCTGCGATGACTAATCATTAGCCTAGCATTAACCGCCTTGTTGGGCCTGTACAGTGAGCCCACAATCTGGCCATAAACAAGGCAAATCGGCAATAAATCAAAAATCAATACAGTCAACGCCATTTTGCATTCGATTGGTCGGGGGGTAGTGGAAAGTGGAGAGTGGAAAAGCGTCAACTGAAACCAATACAAAGGCTATAAGTAAATCTATGTTGGCCCCATCATCTCGCTCACTCTCCCGCCGTTTCCATCTGTCTCTGTCTGTCGCTTCGCGCTGACTGACAAGAAATGTTAGAAAAGAAACAAGCTGAAGAAATCGGAGCTTGGGGGGAGGCGAATAAAAAAGCAGAATCCACCCGTCAGGACAAAGTCCTGCCAAGAAGAAGAAGGGGAGGAGTCAAGCCAAGGGAAGCTTGAAAAGAAACTGCGCTGCGAAAGAAAGAAAGCAACAAAAAAAAACGAAGGAAAATAAAAAGTAAATTCAAAGCAAACGAGACTAAAATTATAAAAATTGCCCTCCTGGTGGTTCAGAGTGTGCCCGCCCGTCCATCCCCCATCCAAAGTTCCATCCTGCCGGTCTTGCTGCTCCTGCTCCTGCTCCTGTTCCTGCTGCTGCTGATGATGATGATGATGGTGATGATGAGGAGGAGGACAAGGACCAGCGGCAGGACCAAAACGAAACGAACGCGATTCCAATACGGGACATCAACGTCACTGAGGGTGGATGGTCCGAGCTTGAGTTTGAGTTTGAGTCCATATCCTGGGGGTGGTATATAAGGACCTTCCCTCTCCCTATGTCCCGGGTCCATTATATACACACAGCACTCGCTTCTTCGCCTTGTGTATACACTATATAGCAATGGCCCGCAGCGTCAATGGACCAAAATAATAACGACTAACGGCCTGTTAAGGGAAAATGCAACGAACTGAATGGAGGGGTGGGGTTTTATGGCCAAGTTGGAATGGGTGGGGGCGGCAAAGGAGCTGTGGGTTTTGATAAGAGCGGGGAGTGGGTGGCCAAGGTTTTTTAAGTGGTCGCGCGTGACGTGCACATCGGATACGTGCACTGGTGTATAAAATCTATATCTTTTAAATGATTATTTTTAACTTTAACCTTAACTTTAATTCTTAACTTGTTAACTCATTCAAAAAATTAACCTTTAAAAGGTTTTTATTTGATTTTCGTGATTAAATCAACTTGGGATTGCTCTAAGCTTGCATTTACTACTTTCTAGATTCATAAAATCTAATTTCTCTCTGTGTAGTTGGTGGATTGTTTGAAAACTGGGAGTTGGAGGGGGCGCTGGCATCTCCTGCTGACGTGGTATTTGCCAGCTCCGACTCTGATCGGTTGGCCGCCATGGCAAAACAAATTTTTCTACCACCCCCGCCCACTTATTTGCACACAAAACTCTTGTTACTAGCTGCCATTATGATTTTGAAAAGCCATTGCCATTGCCATTCCACCCCCTCACTCTACACCATCTTTTTTTTTAAACACTCCTCTCCACTCCGCTTTTTGCTCATTGAAAAACTGTGAAATTTTATAATAAGCATTTTTTTGTTGGTTGTTGCTGCTGGCAGATTATTGTCGATGATTGTGATTGCGTTTTATGTTGTTCCTTTTATGACCAGGTCAGAACGGGGAGTATTTTTTCTATAATGGCTACGATGGGGGATCCCCGTTGGCTTCGTTTTTTGTGAGTGTGGATGGATGGACGGGCGGTGGCGTAATATTCCTTTTGAAAAAAATGATTATTTTGTTTGGCTCGTATGCCCTGGCTGCTGGCGGATTTTCGTGCTCGGCCAGGCGCTATTGGTCTCCATTTAAGCTTATTAATTTTAAATGCGATTTTTAATTAAATATTATCAAAGCGTGTCGAGGGCGTCATTAAGTTCGAACGCTTCAGATGTAGCGATTGCCGTTGAATTGCAGGGCAGAGCCAGCTGTGTGTAGGGCAGAATTTTTGAAGAGATGTTGGAAAATCCCTATTAACAAATCGATTCATTGAGGCATTGAGTAGCACAGAGAGAGAGGCGCTTAGATTCAATTATCGCTGTAAGTGGTTCGCAGCAAGGCAAAGAACTGATACGACATGCTAATGACCTGTCAGGGATTTAGTTTTAGTATAGAATCACAAAGTACCTCTTAGTACAAACCCACCTTCATATAAGTAACCAATGAAATGGGTGGAAAAGTGGGGGGTCTGATCGAAGCAGGCTTCTGACTTCGCATAATGAGTAACTTCAACATGCTGCAGTAGGACTTGCTGCACTGAAACCACTTTTGATTATAAGCAGCATCTCCTACTTTGAGGCTCTGAAAAGGTTTTAGGATATAGTATAAAGTTAACTTAGTCGTAGTCTAAACCTACCGCAGCTATCAAAGAGTCTCCGTAGTAGCACACGAGGAAAACCTGAACCATAGATGTCATTAGAAATATGCAGTAAATAATAATCACTTCTATGGTTGATTCGGTGACCTGAAAGGCAATGAAGCAGATCTGCATGGAGGCCATCAAAAAGTTAAGGAGCAAAGAGAAGCTATAAAGATCGTTGACGTGCTCGCAGAGTCTAGAAAATATATAGAAAAAATGTATACAAATTTGGAATATAAAATAGAATCCATCACTTACTTAAGACACTTATCGTGATATCTGATAATCCCAATCAGAAACTCAATATTCTCCTTGTCCTCTTCCGGCCTACAGGGATGCTCCTCCAGCCTCATGGATATATAGTTAAAGTGCATGCAGATCTGGGTGATGACCACAACCAGTAAGAGATCAGCGCAGAGAAAGGCAATGCCCGCCAGATACGCGCCATGGGCAATATCCCAGTACATGATCCAGTAAATCAAATTACTGCTAGTGGCATCAAAGGGAAACCAAATGAGGAAGCCAAAGTTGCGATCAAAGGTGTCATAGCCAAGGAAATTAAACTTCACAGAGGCTTTAATGGCAGGGTAAAAGGAAAACGTGGTCGTATAGGCCAGGCACAGGAAAGTAAAGATATTGATCACACGTTTCATGATCTTCTCAAAGTCCGATAGTTTATACTGCTGCTGTTTTTCCAAGGTCTTCGGATGCATATCCTCCAGGTCGTCGAGCAGCAATATCAAAGTTTTCTTTCCCCTGACCATGGCAAATTGCTTGAAATCAGCCACCAGGGAAAAGCCAATGCAAGGAGCCACGGCAATGGCCAAGCGAATGGTGTCAAAGTCCTGAATTGAGTTGTAGAAGAAAACCAGTTCACCGATCACCAGCAGATTGAAGTTGATAAAGCCCGCATATAGATATATCTTCAGCAGAAGGGACTTTAAGGGGTTGGTGGATCGATGGGCGTAGATATCCTCTCCAATGCTCCTGTAAAACTGCACTGGCACTCGCATTAGTTCCATGAAAGTCCTCGCTGAACTATCCTCTGACTTTTCCATTTTAAACTTATTTCTTTTTTGGGCAGAACTTTTCCGGTTTATTTCTAAGAAGAACTGTTAGTGGTCAGTCCTTCACTTTGGTCTTATATATCGGGGCGGCTGTGGGCGTGTCGGCCAAGTTTTTTGCCCCATCATGTCGCGCCTTGAAAAGTGTTGATAATTGTGCCTAAACTTTAAACTAACCAATGTAATTAGCTGTGAACTTTTCTCACTCTTTGGAAGCAGCTGAAAAGGTTCTCAAATGGTTAAGGCTACGGGGTGTTTGGGAGGGAAGACTGGCCGCTAATCAACGTGAATTGCAACAAAAGGTGTCTCCATCTTGGCAGCTGCTTAAATTAAGTTACCCACTGAAGAAAAAAGTAAGGGATACTTAGAGATACTAAAGTAACTTAAAGCTATAAACTTAGAAAGAAAATCTTAAAAATAATCTCCAATTTCAAGCAGTAATCATCACCAATTAAATTCAATAGATTTTCCATGGCTAGTTCCCGAACAAAAGAGCCCGAGAAAGGTGTGGAAATGGACAAGGACCTCTCTGCTGTGGACCATAATGAATGTGTTGAATGAAATGAAAATAATTTTTCTTGTTATCCTGCCTCCCCAGGAGCACAAATTGAGCGGAAAATAACTAATAAAGTCGGACGTGGACGGAGGCCATGAATAAAATGCAAGGCTCTCTCCCAGGCATTTGCCAAGATTATAGGTGGGTGGTTGGCGTTTTGAAAATGGTGAAAATTCAACCAGCCATGGACCATTAGAGGGACTATTGAAGGGACCAAGGGTTAGGTTGAGGCAGCCTTCTCCGGGCACGTGCAAAATGGCAGCTCAAATTGAAATGCTGCCGATGCCACAATGGGTAATTTTCATTTCAATTTTCACAGTTTTCCTCCTCCATCCCGGTTGGTCGTCTGACAATTTTTTGCTCATTTGCAGTTTGCATTTGAGAATTGAACTTGTGCCCGGGGGCGAACAATGATGTTTCAGATGATGATGGAAAATCTCTTCTTCACGACTCGTTTTTCTGTTTTTTTTTTCTTGTCCGCTCGCCATCGAAGGAAAACTTTATCCCGGCAGCTGTGTGTGGCAAGAAAAAGTTTGGGAAATGTAGAAAATATTTGCATCATATTGAAAACTCTTAACATTCTTCGCCGCTTACGTTGCCATGGCCCCCGCGTAACTTTTAGTTAGTTTCTAAATTTAATAATACGAAGGGAAATGGGAAAGTATTTCTCGGTTGTCAGAGTGACAAGTTTGCTGAACTTAAGCGAAGGATATAGGTGGAGGGTAATATGTGCTTATTTATGTGGAAATTATTAAAGTTTTATGTTAATGAAACTGTTTAAAAATCAGTCAATAACTTTTTTAATTAAGTGTCAAAGATTTCTATGTTTGTAAGTTCTTTCAGAATTTTCATTCCAATTAATTTTTAACAAAAATAATATAAAAATATGCCTCTGCCTGTTCCTGCATTTTCCCTCTTTCAGCCATAAAACATTTTCAATTAAACTGTTTAATTACTAGCTTCGATTAATTAGCACAGCTGCCAGAAATGGTGAGTACATGCAGTCATACTTTTCTCTGTTTAGCTTAACTCAATTCGAGTCACTCCCCTCGCTTCCTTTTGAGTTGAGTTCGTTTTCCCTTTTTGAGTCTTTTCGTTTAAGGGGTAATTTTGAGTTGAGGGTGAGTTTGAGTTCCACTTTGAGTTGAGTGAGTTAATTCCATGTTTTCCTCCTCCGCGATGTTGTGCCATGTTTTCAACCCCTTTGAGATGTTTCTATGTTATTCCCCTCACTGAAACCATTCCCAATGGAAAGGTGTCTCTGCTAAGAAAGTGAGAACAGTTTATCCTGCTGATAGAGGGAGCTAGTGAGCTAAGCAAGGATATGCAAATTATTTCTAGGATTTTTTTCACTTTTTGCTTTTTACTGATTTATGTGTTATGTGTTACTGAAAACCACCGCCAGGTGTCGTCTGCTGGTATTAGAAAATCGTTTACTACTTCTGTCCGTTTTTAAGGACCTCATTGAAATCCTTTTTTGTCTTTCATTTCTCTGCAACTCAATTTTGTACTTTTTTTTTTGTTTCACAGCAGCATTTTTAAGAGCTGCACTTAAGCGCAGATTTTAATTACTTTCCGGCCGACTGGCAACGGAAGGAACACAAAAAGATTCTTGGGAATGGGGTTTCCATTTGTGCACGTGGTGAGGGGGTTGCAGGAAGAGAAGTGGGATAGTGGGGTGTGTGTATCCTTTTTGCAACATTTAGAGAATGCATTTATCTGACGGACCCTCTGGAGCCGTTGCAGAATCTGGCATCTGAATTAGCCGCTCGCCTTTGTCGCACTCAGAGGAAGGCAAAAAGAAAAGAGTCCGCCTCAAGTGCAGGGCATTATATATTCATGGCTAAGAGAAGAAAGGCTACGACTGTGACACATGTGTGTGTGGCAAGGAAAGAAGAAGAGTGGGGGTGAGGCATAAACGAACAGGAGGGGCCAGAAAGAAATGCTGGGCAAGTGCACTTAGCAGCTTGTAGACGCCCCAGTTGACATTGCCACACGCACACACCAGCGTGTCTGCCACTTGGGGGTTGTTTTCTTCGAGCCATAAAAAATTCGCACATGAGCAAAACACACACACGCACACACATACACACAGCGAGACAATGGCGTTGGCAAAAAAAATGTACTAGAGGAGGGGCTAAAAAGGAGGGGTAAGGGGTAAAGAGATCCTGACTCGAAGTGGTTGCTTGCAACCCTGCTGCAATTTTCAAATGGCCCAAACGCTCAAGGCGCAACAACAGCAACGACATGTCCATGTCCTGGCCGCCTTTGTTACAGTCCTTGCTCGCAGGACCCCCAGTCCCATTTCCTGCCCTGACCCCTCTTCTGCCCCACCGAACATGCAACGTGTAGCCCCCGCCACTCGTGTAATCACAAACATGCTACAAAAGCCAGAAACAGGCTCAAGTTAATGACTTGGCAACATGTTGAGAACGCGGCGAGAACAGAACTCGGATGCACTTCGAAAAGGACATGCACTGGAAGTATGATTAGTGTAATAATAATAATAATAAAAATAATAATAATATAGATATGTACTTATTAAAAAAACAGAAGGAATAAGCAGTTTGTTTAATCACCAAAACATTTTAAAGGAACTCATTATTGAGGAGAAACATTTACATATGTAAAAGTAGTTTTTATCATATTTAAAAAGCCTTATTTACATTTATTTTCTTAACTTAAACTTTTGTTTTAAAAGCAATATTAAGTGTAAACATTTTCCCAAGTGCAGCTGCAGATGAAGTTGAATTCAAAGCTGTGCCTGGAGATGGATGTGGGATATGCACCTGCATTTCATTGCATCCTGCCGGAGGGCCAAAACAATGGGGCCTTTGTCTAGGCCCGTCGACGTCTGCATCGTCTATCCAACCAGCCAACAGCTGTTGGCCAAGAACAATTCCCATTTCGCGGAGTCGAAAGTCGCGATGATCTTGATAGCTAATTGAGCTGGGACAGCTGGGCAGGAATTTGTCCACCATGTCCCCAAGTCAGAGTATTGTTTACCATATTCGATAGAGAAGTTTTTCGAATGCCTTAACCCGCCCCTGCCGCCTTTAACCCCATATTAATCCATCTCCTGGGGGTGTCACGCATGCGCCTTTGTCACCCGTCTGAGCCATGTCAACACTTCTAATGTTCCGTTGGCCATTTTTGGGCAAATAACTTGCTCAGCTCAGAGATCCCGTTAGCGCGGACGGGCCTAAAGAGTTGTCATTCAGTTGTCGCCACAAGACCACCGTTGGAGATGATGTCGCGTCTCCATCTGTCTCTGGGTTTTCCTCCTTTTTTTTTGGAATTTTTTTTTTCACAAGGAGCTCCAAGTTTGTCTCCTCGGCTTTGCGGCGGCGTGTTGTCGTCTGCAAATTGTTCGCGTCGCTATTATCCAGGGGCATCAATCTCCCGGCAATTGACAGGCCTGCTCCACTGAAAAACAGCCTTTTTATGGCCAAGACGAAATTATTTACTCAGCCAGTCAGCCAGTCAGCCAGTCAGCAGCCACCGCCACCGCAATTGTCAATCTGGGAATTGGCTCCCCCCTTTCTCCTCTTTTTTTTTGGGCTGCCCCTGGTTTTATGGCAATTTGATTTGTTGGCAGTTTTTCTGTAAATTGCTCTGCAAGTCTGCCTTTTGTCTCGTCGCTTAATTTAATTTGTATTTCGGCTCATTCGTATTTATGGTTAGTTGGCGGTCTTGACTTGATTTTTCTCTCATTCCCCAGGCTGATTGACGGAATTGAGAGGTGGCAAGTGACAGGATTGTCAGGAGTGTCGCAGCAAGCTGATTGCATGTAAATGCTTGTGTAGGGTTAATGGTTGATCAAGATCGAAAGGTGTTTTTGTGATGAAAGGGAATTTATTAAACCAGTTTCAGTTAAAGAATTCCGATTGTAAGTTAAGTAAGAATGTTCCCAACTAAGTTCTATATAACAAGTTAAGTTACTCAGCGAGGCTCTAGCCAAAGCTCTTACCCCTTTCCAGTAACCTTTTCAAACCGAACTGCTGGCTTTTTCAGCCTCATCGGACTATACAACTTTAAGCTGATTTTGCGGTCATAACTGCCCTCACCCAAGGCCCCCAAAAACAACGGCAATCCGACAACTTTTGCCATATCAATGCCATGCAAGAATAAAAAGGAACCAAAAATACGAGAGAAAATGGTTGAAAAATGTGGAAAAACTAAGAGACTGGGTGCGCGGGTCCATGCCATTGCATTTCCGTTGCTTTTGACGCGGTTTTTTCCCACACACACACCCATGCACAGTCGACGCTGCTGCTGCATGCAACAAAAGCGATGAAAACAAAAACAAAACTTTTGCCATTTTTAATTACAGCTCTGAAAAGCGCCGAAAAAAATTCGCAGTTTGCTTTAATTACCGCGCGAAAAGCGAGACAGAGTCTAGGGATAGATAGGGTGCGGTGGGTATAAAAAGTGGCAGGGTTTTTCCTTTCCCATTTTATTTTCCTATTTCTTTTTTTTTGTCGTTCTCGCTGATGAGGCGCACTTTGATGAAAGAATTGCAGCGACGACGACGATGACGACTACCTCGCAATTATGGCAACATGGAAATAAAGAAAAGCGAAATAATTCTCATACTTGAAGGTATCGCAGCAACTCCATTTTCGCCATGGCCCCTCGAGTTCTTGGTTGGTTTGTTTGGCTGTTTGGCTGGTTGGTTGGTTGGTTGGCTGCTCGGCAAGTGGAAGTGCATTGAGGCATGCAACAGGAACAGTGCCTCTGAAAAGTCTGAAAAACACACAGCTGCACTTTAACATTGGCGCGCAACGAGGGGATAAGTCGGCTGAGGATTGTACTTCGCATGGCCGCTGCTGACACGCCCCCTGCGGCTGCCATGAATATATCTTTCTATATATATATTCCATTCTAAATTAATGGAGAATTTGGTCTGGGAA